GATATTTATTTATTTATTCTTAATGTCTTCTCTGATCTGTGCTTGTTTGTTTCAGTGGGATCTTGCAACCCTGCTGGGCTTGTACATGAAGACCATTCTCTACCTGAGGTATGTTTCATGAATACTGAACTGAGTGTGGATACTTGCTTATTCATACCTTATTAAATTATTTGCTCTGAGGGTTGAATGCCAAGTGAACTTAACATACAGTAGGTTTCCTCTTTTGTGGACTCTTTCAACTGTCCAAAATTCAAGCAAAGGCAAATATTCATTGCAGGTTCACAAACTATAGAAATACAATCTTTTCTTACACTTACACTCACTTCGCAGTGATTGAAGTGAGAAACAGATGATGGATAAGAGATGATGATTGTACTGGGTTTATGAGAGAATAGAAGCCACGTGTGAAGTTTCTGCAAGTTAAATACAATAGATTGTAAAACAAAGAGCTTGGAGGTTTAGCTTCATGGTTGGGATATCTGTTAACAAAAAAAAGATAATAGATAAATGGTAGGTCAAATTGGTTGGAATTGGTTGATTGATAATAGATTTCTACATTTTTGATATTTTTAAAAGTTACACCGGTACAGCAATTTGGCAAAGATAGGTGTAGAACTTTATAGATCGCTGACCTATTTTTCAAGGGAGGGAACATTTCTTGTCACTGAAATATATTTCTCAGTGTTGAACTGCGAGGATATTTTGTGTGTATGCTTGATATTTTGTTCTATACACTTTTTTTCCATTCTTTGTTTCTATTTTTGTATTGTATTTTTCCCTCCCCCCCTTGATCTTATATTTTAACCTTAGAAATAAATAAAAAATTCATACCAAAAAAAAAAAAACCAAACAAAAAATCCCAAAAGGAAACAGATGTTTTCTGTACTTTGTCAGGGTTTCTTGCATTCCAGCACCGCCGTCTGTGATCAGTTCCTAACAGTGGAGGCGTTACTTTTCATTCAACCCTTATACATTGCACATTAGAATCCAAATTCATATCGTGTAACCCAAAGGATAAATGTAATACAGGGGTAGGCAACCTTGGCTCTTTTATGACTCGTGGACTTCAATTCCCAGAATTCCTAAGCTGGCACAGCTCACCTTGGAAACCTCTCCCTTTCTCCTCAGCATGGCTGGCTCAGGAATTCTGGGAGTTGAAGTCCACGAGTCATAAAAGAGCCAAGGTTGTCTACCCTGATGTAATATAAGGCTGTACCTTTCCTCCTATCCAATACTACCATTGTTTTGGCTTGATTTTTTGATAGAGCCTTCCAGTTCTAGAAGATTCTCTCTCATCCACCTCTCCCTTTTGTTCCCCAGGGCTCTTGTGAATGTCGGGCTTTTGTGGAAGGAGAAGCTTGTGATAAATGCAAGCCCCTCTACTGGAACCTGACTCCAGATAATCCATTTGGATGCACGAGTAAGAAATATCCCTTGTTTGTATGGATTAGGTTCAGGATTTCTGACAAGTGAACTTATTAGCAGGTGTCTATAGCAGTGGTGGCGAACCTATGGCACATGTGCCAGAGACGGCACTCGGAGCCCTCTCTGTGGGCATGCGCGTCGTCGCTCCAGGCCCACCTTCCCCCCGTGGCCCCCTCTTCACCAGCAGCCTCCCCGGAGAAGAGTCACCCCTGAGCGTGGCCCGCACAGAGCAGCGCAGCCAAAAACATGGCAGCTGGGCAGCAGGGACAAGATTCCGCCCTCACACCCCGTCACGCACAGATGATGCTGCGGGGCGTGGGTGGAGGGCGTGGCCGCCATGGCACTGCAGGGCTGCCTGGGTGATCTTCTGCGGCGGGCCATGGAGGCGGGTGGCCCTGCGGGCAGGTGGGGGTGGGGCAGAGCGGGGTCAGGTCAGGCGGTGGGGTGGTTTTGGGGCGCTCGGTCTCTAAAAGGTTCACCATCACTGGTCTATGGAGCTTCTTAGTCATCCAGGTCAGGGTTATCCCAAAGGTGCTTTTTCAAAAGGCAATTGGACTTTCTTGGTTTTCCTTGAAGATGTTTTGCTTCTCATCCGAGAAGCTTCATCAGTTCTGATTGGATGGGGGGGAGGGAATGGAAGGATTACATTCCTTTACAGTCATCTGGGCATTAGTACTCTCTCTGAGAGCTCCTGAGGGTGCTAATGACCAGATGACTGCAAAGGAATATCATCCATTCCCCACCCACCACCCTCACCATTCAGTCAGAACTGAAGAAGCTTCTTGAATGAGAAGTGAAATGTCTTCAAGGAAAAAAAACACCCAAGAAAGTCCCATTGGTTTTGGAAAAAGCACATTTGGGATTACCGGCAAGTGAGAACAGATCTCTTGACTCCAGATTTCCAGAAAGTGTCAGGATGGTTGAAATCTCCCATTGTCATTATTGGGTGCCTCTTTGAAAGGCAGAGGCCACCTGAGTCCAAAAGATCTCCTCCAGATCTTTTCCCCGTCTATGCTGTCTCCAATAAATTCCCATACAGGTAGTCCTCAATTTATGACTGGTCGCTTAGTGACCGTTTGAGGTTTTGATGGATTTGAAAAGGGGACTTACCATCCAGTTCCGAAGTTCCAAGAGTTGGGCCCCTTCTGCAGATACATGACCGAATTTTGACCACTCGGCAACATAGCCACATTTGTGGCTGTTTGCAGCATCCTGTGGTCACATGACTGCGTTTTTACAGCGGTTTTGCAAAACCCGGCATTTTCATTTTTGGAGCACGATTACACCTATAGCAAACTGTGGGTTCGCTTTACGATCTTCATATTTGCTTTATGACTGCCACAAAAAGGGTAATAAAATTGGGTCAATCGTAAGACTGACTCATTATACGACTGTAATGACTTGGAAGCCTAATGGGCAGGCTCTATTATGGTCGTAAGTTGAGGACAACCGGTAATGTAATCATGTTTGCTTTAATCTTCTTTTCTACTTTATCCAAATGCTCTTTGTAGAATTTCCATGATCTGATTTCTAGAAAGGCATACATGTTTGCTTTGCATACGACGCAGCCCTCCCTCTTTTTTCTGTTGAGTCTGTTCCTTTTAAAAAGGGTTATACAGGTAGTCCTCAGCTTACGACCACAATTGAACCCAAAATTTGTGTTGCTAAGCAAGACAGTTATTAAGTGAATCTTACCCCGTTTTACGACCTTCCTTGACACAGTTGGTAAGTGAATCGCTGCAGTTGTTAAATTAGTAATGTGGTTGTTAAGTGAATCGGGCTTCCCCATTGACTTTGCTTGATAGAAGGTCGCAAAAGGGGATCACGTCATAAATACAAGTCATTTGCCAAGCGTCTGGATTTTGAACACATGATCAGTGGGATGCTGCCGTGGTCATAAGTGTTAAAAAGGACCAATAGTCAGTTTTTTCAATGCTATGGGAACTTCAGATGATCACTAAATGAATTGTTGTAAGTCAAAGACTACAGCAGTGGTGGCGAACCTATGGCACGGGTGCCAGAGGTGGCACTCAGAGCCCTCTCAGTGGGCATGCGCGCCGTCGCCCCAGTCCTAGGCCTTCAGCTGGGTTTTATAAAACCTTTTCGCTTTAGGCCTCCACCGCCGTGTGCAAAAAAAAAAAAAAAAGGTTCAATCAATCAATCAATTTCAACTTCTGGCAGGGAAAAAAAAGATCTTGCAAAGTTGGAATTGATTGATTGAACTTTTTAGTCCCACCCAGTTTGCCGTTACCACCGCAGCCATGGCCACCCAATGGGCCACACCCAGCCAATGGGCCACACCCAGCTAATGGGGCTTACCCACCCGGCACCCGACAATGCATAAGTGGGTTTTGGATTGCAGTTTGGGCACTCAGTCTCTAAAAGGTTCGCCATCACTGGACTACAGCATCCCAAGGCTGCATCCCAGTCAGATGATTGATGCAGAGCAATACATGGAAATACAAAGCCATAATTGGCATTGATTTCGCGATGGGTTCATGTACCACCCTAAGCCGTAACGTCTGTTTTTATTCAGTTAATTTATTTAAGGAATTTATTTGGCTGCCAATCTCTTAGCAGTCACTCTGAGTGGTGTAAAAGAAATGAAAACCAAGCAATCGTAACATCAAACAACTAAGCTCTATTGTATAATAGACCCGCATAACCAAATCTTATATTAGTTAAGCTGCGGCAGTTTAACATTTATGGGTCATGGCTTAATCCATATGTTGTAAGAAATGTTACTATGGCATCTTCCATAAACAGGCTCTCCAGTTGTGCTTTTCTGTTTTCCTTCAGGCTGCCAATGCAACACCATAGGAACAATGGCAGGCGTTGCTGAATGCCAACAGGTAGGTTTTGCAGTAGATCTTATTCTAGCCTTCTTCAACTTAAAGTCCTTCCACTCCCATCCCTTTTGACTTCTCTTGGGGAATTATGGGAGTCGTAGTGCAATAAACATGGAGACTGGCAAAAGCTGCCATAAGTTAAGTCAGGACTTCCTAATAGCCTGAAGAGTGATTTATGTTTATCCCGATCTTTTGGCCAGGCAAATCAACATACTTGGTGACAAGTAACATTTCTTAATATCATACAGTCATCTATATGCTACCAAAACTCTTGTGTCTGTTTGTATTCTTCAATTGGACAAACTGGTACATTATAAGGCAGGGGTCTTCAAACTTGGCAACTTTAAGACTTGTGGGCTTCAACTCCCAGAATTCCTCAGCCAGCCAGGGCTGGCTGAGGAATTCTGGAAGTTGAAGTCCACAAGTCTTAAAGTTGCCAAGTTTGAAGGCCCCTGTTATAAGGCAACAGTTATTGAAACCAAGGGCTTCCAATGGGCTAACTTATAGAATGCAGGGACCCATTATTTCTGTGGGAATAAAATTTGGGAAAGCACTGCCATGTTGCTGTTGCTACTTGATCGCCGCTGCGTTCAGGTGATCTTCATTTCCAAAACCGCCGAGATTATCTAGACCAGACCTCTGTAATGTGTAGGAATATCAGTTAAACCATCCATGTAATCTGGCTGTCTTATCTTCTTGAAAACACAGTGCTAGGCTGCATTAACGGAGGGATAGTATCAAGATCACGTGAAGTATTAATACCACTTTACAAAGCCTTGGTAAGGCCACACTTGGAATACTGCATCCAGTTTTGATCACCATGATGTAAAAAAGATGTTGAGGCTCTAGAAAGAGCAACAAAGATGATTAGGGGACTGGAGGCTAAAGCATATAAGGAACGGCTGCTGGAATTGGGTATGTCTAGTTTAATGAAGAGAAGGACGAGAGGGGACATGATAGCAGTCTTCCAATATCTCAGAGGCTGCCCCAAAGAAGAGGGAGTCAAGCTATTCTCCAAAGCACCTGAAGGCAGGACAAGAAGCAATGGATGGAAACTAATCAAGGAGAGAAGCAATCTAGAACTAAGGAGAAACTTCCTGACAGTTAGAACAATTAACCAGTGGAACAACCTGCCTCCAGAAGCGGTGAATTCTCCAACACTGGAAGTTTTTAAGAAGAGACTGGGCAGCCATTTGTCTGAAATGGTATAGGGTTTCCTGCCTGAGCAGGGGGTTGGACCAGATGACCTCCAAGGTCCCTTCCAACTTCTTCTTCTTCTTCTTCTTCTTCTTCTTCTTCTTCTTCTTCTTCTTCTTCTTCTTCTTCTTCTTCTTCTTCTTCTTCTTCTTCTTCTTCTTCTTCTTCTTCTTCTTCTTATTATTATTATTATTATTATTATTATTATTATTATTATTATTATTATTATTATTATTATTATTATTATTATTATTATTATTATTATTATTATTATTATTATTATTACCACCTTCAGAGATGGAAAATCCACAGCCTCAGCAGGCCCACCATTGAATAGAGATTCCTATGAGAAAGGTTGCCTTTATATTTAAATGAAATCTAAGCAACTGCAACATATATCCGTTATTTCTTGTCCTAGTTTCTTTCACCATGGAAAAACAGATCGTTAACATCTTTCCTGTGGCTTCCCTATGCATACTTAAATATGGTACACTTTTACTTTTCGTATATTGGCACTCTATTATGAGTAGATTTTATTTCCCTCATTTTGTCTTGCATTATTTCATCTTTAAAATGTGTGGTCGTAGATGGTAGTAAATATTGATTGATCAATCGATCCCATAAAACAGGCTTCCTTCAGTTTGCTGGATTCTTAAAGGTTTAATAAATATTACTATGTTTGATTTTATAGGATAAAACAGGCCTGTTGTAGCCTGTCCATTAAGGCTTCTTTCTCATTCCTGTAGTCCATATATGTTCAATCAATTAATCAATCAATCAATTTGTCTCTTAGGGTGATGGACACTGTTTCTGCAAGCCGAACATTTGCGGCCAAAAGTGTTCTATTTGTAGAGAAGGTTACTTCAACCTGGAGAGTGGTAATTACTTTGGCTGTAAAGGTAACATCATTTTTTTATCTTTTATAATGTTCTTAATAATGGGAAGAAGTCAATAAGTTGTACATTCATCAGCCAGACTTGAGGAGACCCATAGAAACCTAGAGTCAAAAGAGGGCATTTAAAGCATCTGATCCAGTGTTTCTCAAACTTGTCAACTTTAAGATGGGTGGACTTCACCTCCCAGAATTCTCCCACCCGCAAGGCTGACGGGGGAATTCTGGGAGTTGAAGTTTACCCATCTTAAAGCTGACAAGCTTGAGAAATGCTGATTTAATCGAACTCACTGCTCAATACAGAATCTGAATTAAAGCATCCACAACAGTTCTAGCTTTTTCCTGAATACATCCAGCAAAGAGCTGAATACTTTTAACTTCGATCTGAATAGATCCAGCATATCATTTCTCTGCGTAATTGGTTCCACTAACTAATTGCTCTTCAGGAAGCTATTTTTTTCCATTCAGTTGAAATTTCCTTCCGGTGACTTAAATCCATTAGTCCATACCTTGCATTCTGGAATGAAAGAGAACAGGTATGATGTGACATTAGTTCAAATATTTGAAGTGTTCCATCATATCTAAAGTGGATATTCTCAGTTCGTTCAGTGTGCCTTTGCAATTACAAACTAAGAGAGTCAGTTTGGTCTGGTGGCTAAAGGTGCCAAGCTAGAAACTGGGAGACTATGATTTCTAGTCCCTCCTTAGCCATGAAAGCTATTGTGGTGATCTTAAGCCAGTCACACTCTCTGAGACCACCCCACCCCACATGATTGTTGTTGTGGGAAAAATAGGAGAATAAGTATTATTAGATATGTTTGCCTCCTTGAGTTGTTTATAAAAAAAATATAAAGGTGGGATATAAACAAAATAATAAAAAAAAACCAGATCTGATTCCTGTTCTCTGCTCATCCCTGTTACTTTGTTTTGAGCCTTGATCCTGTAGGATTGGTGTACGATCCAATTATAACACTGAGAATATTAGTTTTGTTCAGATAAACGTTTCAGCTTGCTTTCCTCAGTTTTTGAGAAGGGCAGATACAAAACCTCTGTATATGCCTATCTAAACTGTTCACTCCAAATCTCAGAGGAATAAAGGTAAAATTCAACATGTTGTTGTTGTTGTTAGTTGCAAAGTCGTATTTGACCCATCGCCACCTCATGGACACCGTTCCTCCAGGCCTTCCTGTCCTCTACCGTCTTCTGGAGTCCATTTAAGCTCACGCCTACTGCTTCAGTGACTCTATCCAGCCACCTCATTCTCTGTCGTCCCCTTCTTCTATTGCCCTCCATCTTTCCCAGCATTAGGCTCTTCTCCAGTGAGTCCTTCCTTCTCATTAGGTGGCCAAAGTACTTGAGTTTCAACTTCAGGATCTGGCCTTCTAAAGAGCAGTCAGGGTTGATCTCCTCTAGGACTGACCGATTTGATCGCCTTGCAGTCCAGGGGACTCGCAGGAGTCTTCTCCAGCACCAGAGTTCAAAGGCCTCAATTCTTTTGCGCTCAGCCAAATTCAGCATACCACTCAGCATTGTATTAAGAGCATGGTTCTTAATGTGTAGATGTCCATGATATATTGTACATCATAGAAAAAGTAATTGCTGACTTCGGCTGCGCATAGATCCAGGATGAATTTTTGTTCATTTATTCATTGATTTATCCATTCATTCAACTTATATCCCACCTTTATTATTTTTTATAAATAACCAAGGTGATAAACACATCTAAAACTCCTTCTTCCTGTTTTCCTCACCATAATAACCCTGCGAGGTGGGCTGGGCTGAGAGAAAGGGACTGGCCCAAGGTCACCCAGGTGACTTTCATTTCTAAGGCAGGACTCGAATTCACAATCTCCTAGCGATTGGTCTAAAGTCACCAGCTGCCTTATATGGGACTAGAACTCCCCATCTCCTGGTGATGAGTTCAAAATCACCAGCTAGCTTTCATGCTTAAGACAGGACTAGAACTCACCGTCTCCCAATTTCTAGCCTAGTGCCTTAAGCCAGGGGTCTCCAAGCCCTGGTCTGTGGACCGGTGCTGGGCCGCGGCTATGCCAGAAACCGGACTGCCCAAACAAGCGAAGACCCATCCACAGGATGCAGGCAGCCCACGAAACCACGCCCCCTCCGGTCCACGGAAAAACCTTTCTCCGTGGAACTAGTCCCTGGCGCCCAAAAGGTTGAGGGCCGCTATAGACCAAACTGGTATAAACATCCCAAGTACTGTAAGAGGAAAACTTGCTTGCTGCTGTTGCTGATTAGATATCTTAAGTTGTGTCCTTGGATGGTGTGAAGAGCTAATCTGCAAGCACAGCTGGAAAACTTTATTAGTCAGCAAGTGATAACAAGCATAGTATCCGGTAGTTTATGAACATTGATATGATGGAATAAAAATAGACGTCCAGACTGCTTCCATCTCTTTGAAATCAGATGTTGATTTTTGTTAACTTGGGACCAATTGTCAACCGTGGAAGGTAATCGTGTGTGTGTCTTCTTGCAGGGTGCCAGTGTGACATTGGTGGATCAGTTGGTCCTTTGTGTGAGGAGACGACTGGATCTTGCCAGTGCAGGCGAAATATCAGGGGACCTGCGTGCTCTGAGTAAGAAGCAGTCGCGATGGATCTATTGTAGAGTATCGAGTCCATTATTATTATTTTAATTATTTTATATGTGCGGTAGTGTAAATGAACCACTAGGAAAATAGTCCTAAAGACAAGAGGCAGAACGAATGAAAAGTTCTTTAAGCACTGCATCTTTCTTGTTTTAATTTTAATATATTTCGTTGATCAGAATGCAAATGCAGGCAGTCCTTGGCTTACGACCAAAATTGAGCCCCAGATTTCTATTGTTAAGTGAGACATTTGTTTTGCCACAGTGGTTAAATGAATCCCCACAGCTGTTAAGTCAGTAACATGGTTGTTAAGTGAATCTGGCTTCCCCATTGTCTTTGCTGGTCAGAAGGTGGGCAAAAGGTGATCACGTGACCTTGGGACACACAACAACGGTCATAAATAGGAAACTGTTGCCAAGCATCTGAATTTTGACCCCGTGATCACAGGGATGCTGCAAAGGGCACAAGTGTGAGAAACAATCATGTCACATTTTTCAGTAACTTTGAACAGTCACAAAACCAGGCATGTCAAACTTGCGATGTCACGCGACATATCGCGACGTATCGCGACTTTTTCCCCATTGCCGGCAATGGGGTAGGCGCGGTTTCGGAGTGACGCATCTGGCCCGTGGGCCAGCAGTTTGACATGCTTGCACTAAACCCAGGGGTAGGCAACCTTGGCTCTTTTATGACTCGTGGACTTCAACTCCCAGAATTCCTGAGCCAGCCATGCTGAGGGGAAAGGGAGAGGTTTCCAAGCTGAGCCATGCTGGCTTAGGAATTCTGGGAGTTGAAGTCCACGAGTCATAAAAGAGCCAAGGTTCCTACCCCTGCACTAAACAAACTGTTGTAAGTCAAGAACTACCTGTAGATTTGAAGGTATTTGGGGGGGAAATGGCAATGATTGAAAAGATCCTGAGCATATGGCATTTGTCTACTTTGTAATGCAGAAAGGAAGCGTGTTCTTTAATATGTTCCTTAATTTTTACCTGCAGTCCTGCAAAAGGCTTTTATATTCCTGAACTTCACCACCTGAAATATGAGCTGGAAGAGGGAACCACACTGGAAGGAAGGCCGGTTCGCTTTGGCTACAGTCCGCTGGAATTTGAGAATTTCAGTTGGAGAGGATATGCACAGATGTCTCCCATCCAGGTACTTGGGTGGATATGAAGGACAGTTCCCAGCATTAAAATTTTAGACATACAAAGCACTTCTGTACTGGTAGTCCTCGACTTATGACCACAATTGAGACCAAAATTTCTGTTGTTAAGTGAGACATTGGTTAAATGAGTTTTGTCCCATGTTGTTACGATCTTTCTTGCCATGGTTGTTAAGTGAATCACTGCAGTTGATAAGTTAGTAACCCACTTGTTAAATGAACTTGCCTTCCCCATTGACATAATAATAATAATAATGATAATGATAATAATATTGATATCTAGGATGCTGGCAGCAACCCCTGTCAACTATCAGTGCCAGTCAATTTGAATGTTCAGTTGACTGAGGTTCACGTCTAATGAATCATCATCATCATCATCATCATCTTCCTCCTTCCATTATATATTCAAGATGGACAGTATTTAATATTTATTTATGTATATGTAGGGGTGTGGGTCTGTACATATGTTTTATATAGTATGTTTAGGTGTGTGTCATGTATGTATTTCACTTTGAGAGCAGGCAACTAAATTTCATTTTTGACGTGTGCCCTTGTGCCCACAGTAAAAAAAATGACAATAAAGGTTGTCTTATCTTATAATGATGATGATAATAATGATAATAATGATGATGATGATAATAATAATAATAGTAGTAGTAGTAGTAGTAGTAGTAGTAGTAGTAGTAGTAGTAATAATGAGTCTTGGGGGTCTTCTAGTCCAACCCCCTGCTCAGGCAGGAAACCCTATACCAGTGATGGCGAACCTTTTAGAGACCGAGTGCCCAAACTGCAACCCAAAACCCACTTATGCATCATCGGGTGCCGGGTGGGTATGGCCCATTGTGTGGGTGTAGCCCATTGGGTGGGTGTGGCCCATTGGGTGGGCGTCGCTGCGGTGGTAATGGCAGACTGGGTGGGACTAAAAAGTTCAATCAATCAATTCCAACTTTGTAAGATCTTTTTTTTCCCCAGGAGAAGTTGAAATTGACTGAACCTTTTTTTTGGGGGGGGGGTTATAAAACCCAGCTGAAGGCCTAGGACTGGGGCGACGGCGCGAGTGCCCACAGAGAGGGCTCTGAGTGCCGCCTCTGGCACCCGTGCCATAGGTTCGCCACCACTGCCTTATACCTTTGCTTGCCGGAAGGTTGACCTTGGGGCACTGCACCCGTCATAAATATGAACCCGTTGCCAAGCATCTGAATTTTGATCACGTGACCATGGGGATGCTGCAATGTTCGTAACGGTGAAAAACGGTCATCGGTCACATTTTTCAGTGCCGGTCACTAAACGAACTGTTGTAAGTCGAGGATATCCATATAGCCCCAAAGGCAAAAGTCACAGGCTGACCATTATATGTAATTACAGCTCACCCTTCTGTACTCTACACCATATATGCTATCAATGAAAGGAAATAAAGTAATTTGTGTAGGATTCTCATGGCTCTCATATAGAAGTGCCTTATTTGCTGAAAACTTAAAATACAGGTAATCCTTGACTTACAATGGTTCACTTAGTGACTTTTGAAGTTACAATGTCACTGAAAAATGTAACTGACGACCATTTTTCACACTTGCAACCGTTGCAGCATCCCCAGGGTCACATGATCAAAATTCGGATGCTTGACAACTGATTCAAATTTATGACGGTTGCTGTGTCCCGGGATCATGTGATCCCCTTTTGCTAAGTTCTGATGAGCAAAGTCAGTGGGGAAGGCCCGATTCACTTAATAGCCGTCTTACTAACTTAACAACTGCAGTGATTCACTTAACACCTATGGCAAGAAAGGTCGTAAGATGGGGCAAAACTCACTTAACCACTGTCTTTGATTAGCAATAGAAATTTCGGTCTCAGTTGTGGTCATAAGTCAAGGACTACCTGTATGTAGTTCATTGGCCACTTTACTTCAAAGTTTGCAAGTCAAGGACTGCCCTATATTTGGTGTGACTTTTAAAACCTCTCGGAAGTTTTCCAAAAGCACAAGGTAAACCGGAAGTAGAGAGTTGCTCCTTATTGTCGCTTACTGGGGAAGGTCTAGGACAGCTTGGCATAGCCAACTCGGCGTGGCCAACTTGCCACGGGACGACTTGCCACGGGGCAACTCACCGGAGGATAAGAGTTACACTAATGTCGAAGAAATGGTGGAATGGATTAAAGAAAGAATGCAAAAGAAGGAACGAAATGAAATAGGAACGACAAGAATTAAAATAGTTTTTTTAAATTAGTTTAAATACTTAATTTGAATTGTTGAGTTGTCTCGCAGTGAGTTGTCCCGCTGCGTGTTGGCCACGCAGAATTGTCCCGCTGCACGTTGGCCACAGCGAGTTGGCTGCACCGATTTGACCCGTTCTAAAATATCTTTAGAGTTAGACAAGGACAGCTGGATAACTTCCCTTAGGACAGACTGCCTAGGCGGGAACTGTGTCAGGAATCAACAGGGTTTATTTTAGAAAGACAACCCACACAGGTCTCCTAAGAGGCAGTTCACCCCACATCCTCTCTCCCTACTCTTTGTTTATATAACATCTCCCAGCTCCTCAAAGAAAAGGAAGTCCTCCAGTCTTCCTATGCAGCACGCAGCTTGCTTTTCGTCTGCTGAAGTTTGCTGGCATTTGGCACGCTTGAATTTATTTCTTTTGCAAGGTTGAGTGACTGCGCAGGTTGAGAGTGTAACCCTCTGGTGCGTTTACTTTCTGGAGATGCGTTTCCTGCAGAGGTTGTGGAGTGTGTGTGCGCGCTTGGGCTGTGTACATGTAGTCCTTGACATCCAATCATTCTTTTAGTGACCAAAGTTACAGTGCCCCGAAACAAATTATTGATGACCGTTTTTTTACACTGATGACCGTTGCAGCGTCCCCGCAGTCACATGATCAAAATTCAGATGCTTAGCAACTGGCTCATATTTTATGACGGTTGCAGTGTCCTGGGTTTCTGTGATCAACTTTTTATGACCTTCTGATTTACTTAACAACCATGCTACTAGCTTAACAGCTGCAGTGATTCACTTAAGACCTATGGCAAGAAAGCTTGTGAAATGGGAGTTGAAGTCCACAAGTCTTAAAGTTGCCAAGCTTGGACATCCCCGGCCTAGAGGATCACATCAAAAATGTCATGGTTCCGATAAATGAGACCAGTAAAAATAAGAACTCTGAGGCAATTGCTTTCCTCAAAGAACACTTTTAATGGCTATATGATATCAGCACGAACTGTTCTGTCCCAGCCTACGTACGTCCTTGTTACTTCACAGGACAACCCCCTTTTTAACAGTAGGCTGGAAAAACCAACCCTTTTTTTTTTTATATACAGTTCTGATAATTTTCCCACAAAACAAAAGCAACAGAACCCTTTTCCAATGGATAGTTTGTTCAAAAGCAAAACAGAGCATGAGTCAAAACAAGAAATAATTCACAGGCAAAACAAACAGACCATGATCCCTTGACACTGAAGTTCTTTGCAAACGGTTACCTCCAGCAACCAGCCCTGCCCACACATTCCCTTTTTGTTACGCAGCCCCCAAGGCATGGCTTCTCACTGCTTTCTCCTCTTCCCCTGAAGTTGCCCCATTGCCTCCCTCTGTCTTACTCGTGTGACCTGTCTACGTTTACGAGCGTCTCTGAGGTCTTCCAGGCGTGCTTCCTCCAAGTCTGATTCATCCTCCCAGCACAGCTGGCTTTCAGCTTGATCAGGAGTGGAGGGGCCAGGTTCTTCCTCACTTTGTAAGCCCTCCTCCGACTCTGATGGTTCCCCAGGCCCCTCCTCCTCCTACTCTGATTCCCCGGACTCAGCTGCTGGGATCACAGGCTGGCACGGAATCACAACATGAACATAGATGAAACCAAGACTGAAAGTCCCTCCCCCAACAGGTTACAAAGTAAAAGTTGAACTCCCCACCCCCTTAGTGTGTCATAAATCACAATCCCCAATAAACACCTTTGGCGGGCTTCATAATGGTAGCTCCAGCCTGCCAAACATTTAGGCTGCTTGACCTTGGTTCCCACAAGAAAGTTATTGTTTTGACTAAACTATAAGAATGCATTGCCCGCCTCCCATTGCTGTGGCAACTGAAAAACGAAGAAACATGGCTGAATTCAGAGCGTTTGAAGGTTTGACATTCAAGCTGTCTTTCCTATAGTAGCCATCAAATAGCTCTGGAAAGCCCAGGAGCAGGCCCTGAATCCACCGGTCCTCTTCAGTAGTTTATCTTCATTACAAAGCCCTTGAGAGAATAAACTATCTTCCATTCCTTCAGGGACATTGAAATTCACCACCATTGTGTGTTGACTTTCCAGGTAGTCCCCAACGTGTGAGCATAATGGAGTCTGCCCATTAGAAAATGGGTCAGTCACAATGGTTCACTTATGGCAGAGGTCTTCACACTTGGCAACTTTTAAGAAGTGGCTACATAAATGTTTTCAATAAATTAAATAAATAAAATTAATTATGGTAAGTTGCAGACTGATGCTTTAGCTGCTGAGAAAGTTGGAAGCGTTATTTCAATGGCATTGATTCTCCAGCAGCTCACAACCTAACGATCTAAAGCAGGGGTCTTCAAACTTGGCAACTTTAAGACTTGTGGACTTCAACTCCCAGAATTCCACAAGTCTTAAAGTTGCCAAGTCTGAAGACCCCTGACTTATGGGCACTGTTTTCCCAAAAACTGAGAGTAAGTGCTAGTTCTTGGCAAAAATCATTATAAAATATGGTCACATGACTGAGGGATGCTGCCAAAGGGTGCAAAGGCAGCCATGCTGAGTGCCTGAAGTTCAGTCATGTGACCATTGAAGAGTCCTGAATTTCAGAACTTTGAATCTGTGTAGTAAGGCGCTTTTTTTGAGTTGGTTGGGCAGATAGTCCTCGGCTTACAACCACAATTGAGCCCAAAATTGCTGTCGCTAAGAGGATAGCTGTGAAGTGAGTTCTGCCCCATTTTATGACCTTTCTTGCCACATTTGTTAAGTGAATCACTGCAGTTGTTCATTTAGAAACACGGTTGTTAAGTGAATCTGGCTTCCCCATTGACTTTGCTCGTCAGAAGGTTGCAAAAAGTGACCTTGGGACACTGCAACCGTCATGAATATGAGTCAGTTGCCAAGCATCCAAATTTTGATCACATGACCATGGGGGATGCTACCACAGTTGTAAATGTGAAAAACGGTCATAAGTCACTTTTTTCAGTGCCGCTGTAATGTCGACTGGCCACTAAATGAACTGTTATAAATCAAGGACTATGAACGATAGCTAGTTGACCAGTCATAACTCAAGGACTGATTGCGTATAGTTTGGTTCTGGTGTGCTTGACTTAAGAAGTCTTCTTTCAACTTCTCTCCTATTCTCCTTCTTTGGGTCTTAAGGGCAGAGTATGTTTTCTTGGCAAGGCTGGGCGCTTCGTGGTGAACATTTCAGAGCGTTAGTCTCCTCTAGAATACGGAACACAGAATAACAGAGTTGGAAGGGACCTTGGAGGTCTTCTAGTCCAACCCCCTGCTCAGGCAGGAAGCCATACCCTTTCTGACAAATGGCTGTCCAGTCTCTTCTTAAAAACCTCCAGTGTTGGAGCATGCACAGCTTCTGGAGGCAGGTTGTTCCACTGGTTAATTGTTCTAACTGTCAGGAAGTTTCTCCTTAGTTCTAGGTTGCTTCTCTCCTTGATCAGTTTCCACCCGTTGCTTCTCGTCCTGCCTTCAGACGCCTTGGAGAATAGCTTGACTCCCTCTTCTTTGTGGCAGCCCCTGAGATATTGGAACACTGCTATCATGTCCCCCCTCGTCCTTCTCTTCATTAAACTAGACATCCCCAATTCCAGCAACCGTTCCTTATATGTTTGAGCCTCCAGTCCCCTAATCATCTTTGTTGCTCTTCTCTGTACTCTTTCCAGTGTCTCAACATCTTTTCTACATTGTGGTGACCAAAATTGGATGCCGTATTTCTCTTAAGAGCCGAACGGGGCTGTCTTAACTCTTTCTGGCTGCTTTGGCATGCTGCTTTGGGGCGTAGGATCCTGGGAGCGCTGTGCTTAAGCTGGTGGCTGGTGACGGTCGAGGTTATTTAAGGTGTGCTGTGCTTCTCTCCCCTTTCTCTCCCACCAGCCCAAGGCAGTGTGAAGTCCCCCTGACCTCTTCTGCCTCGTCTTCTGCTCCACCAACCAGGGGCCTGCAAAAGGGAGGGTCTCAGTCCTTGAGGAAAGAAAGTTTAATATGTATGGCAACTGTAAGTCTGTTTTTCACTTCTAGACTAACATCTTCCCACCCTCCACACCGAGGCAGATTTTTGTGTTTCTCCTGCAAAACATCATTTCGGTCCTTCTCCCTTCCTCTCCGAACCCGTAGATTTTTGATCCCTCCTTCTAGAGCAGTGGCAACGGAGGAGGGGAGGGCGACTAGAGAGGCAGAGAGATAGAAAGGCAGAGCAGGGAGCGGACTCAGGGCGGCCTTGCAGTGATGTGTGGTGGTGTGCTTTCTCGCCTTTGCAGAACAAAGTCAGAGTCACGATCCACGTAAGAGAAGGAGAGCTCTACCTCTTTCATGTTATCTTGAGATACATCAATTCAGGAACTGCCACGGTACTGGGCAAAATCACAGCTTCCCAGCCACGAAAACGAGGTAAGGGGTACAGATTTCCATCTACAGGTCGTCGTTGACTTAAGACCATTTGTTTAGCCCAGTGTTTCTCAACCTTGACAATTTTAAGGCATGTGGACTTCAACTCCCAGAATTCCACAGCCAGCATTGCTGGCTGTGGAATTCTGGGAGTTGAAGTCCACATGCCTTAAAATTGTCAAGGTTGAGAAACACTGGTTTAGCTGCTGTTCAGCATTACAGTGGCACTGAAAACAGTGGCTTGCATCTGGTCCTCACACTTACCACCGTCGCAGTATCCCTGTGGTCACCTGATCACAATTTGGGTGCTTGGCAACCGGTAGGTATTTATGACAGGTGCAGCAGCATCCCGAGAGGGTCACGTGATCACCATTTGCAATCTGCCCAGCAGGCTTCCAACCAGCAACGTCAACGGAGAAGCCGGAAAGAGGTTGCAAGTCATGGTCACGTGATGTCGCGCTTAATGACCATAGCAAAAAAAGGCCGTAAAATTGGGTGCAGTTCTCTGATGCCTCACTTAATGACCACCTTCCATAATAATGAATTTTCTAATCCCAGTGGTCATAAGTGGAGGACTCCTTCTTCCATCGTTGACGTTCATTTCCCTGGAGAACTTGTTGAGTTTTGTGCTGCTTTTCACATTCTCAGGAACTGAGATTGAAATCCTGTTAGCTTTCATCCAGGGATACGTATCACTGAAATCGGTGGATCCTTTGAGTAAACATGCACAAGATTGTGGGTTATTATCATCTCAGCAAGAACTATGTTTTCTAAAAGCAATTATTGCTGCATTTAGATGGATGGATGGATGGATGGATGGATGGATGGATGGATGGATGGATGGATGGATGGATGGATGGAT